ACACTGTTTAACTGAATTCTACCTCCTAAAGTTAAAGTGTGCAGGATTGAACTGAAACACAAAATAAAGGTTTTCCTCACGGTGTGCCGAACTGGAACATCTGCTTCAACCCACCGAGCTGCTATCACATACCCCCCCAACCTGTCTGCTGTTTACATTTGTAGTGCACAGTAACCCGGAGATTAGTCCCCTGGGTCAAAGAACTCGCCGGTCGATACAGAGATGATCCAGATGATTTGGAGTTGTTGCACATGTGAGCTGCTGTCATCCAAACTGCTGCAGAACAATAACTCATAGTTATGAAACTGATTGCTGCCGCATCGCTCCAACCTGCCGCATTATTACATCATTCAACTGAGCGACCTGACTCGCGAGCCCGGCCTGCGTGGATTCATTCCGCCCCTCTTTACGGGGCAGTTTTTGCTCACGCGCTCCACGTGTGACATGTTTTTCCCCCTATAGTCCTCCTGCGTTGAATGCATAGTGACAGCCTGTAATCAGCATTCACACCCACACAGCGAATGCCATCGTCAGAGCTCCTTTGTCCTGAGTGTAGCTGCTGGAATATAGCTGTTGTCAGTGTTGACTTTTATGGTTTTGTTTACACAGCGCTTAGCCCCACTTTTCCCTGTAGCTGCTCACCAACGGGGGGGGGCGTCCAGACAGGGGCAAGGTCAGGGTTTTATTGCCCCAGTTTGGGAGCTGCTGTACAAGTTTGTCACATTCACGGGCACTGTGTTGTTTAGTTTGCTTGTCAAAATGAGCGATTCGGTGGAAACGCTTGTATAATATCTTCCGTGCTTCTGGAAGGAGCTTTCCGACGTTTGAATAAATAACCGCGATAAGATCTTCAGGTTATCTCCGCCTTGGAAGACGGAAATTTCAGATCAGAATCTTTTGACAGTTCTCGAGAAGTGCTACTGGTTACACGGAAAGAAAAAAAAAAAAAAGCTTGCCGTGTTGGAGAGAAGTGAGCTCATCATTTCTCTGCTCCTCATCTTTGCCTGAGGCTCGTGGCTCTCGGCCATGTTGGCTGCTTGTAGCATCAACACACCTGAAAATCTGGTGGCAGCCGAGTTGCCTTGCGGGTCGATGTGGGTCATACTGACACCAAGCTCTTAATGAGAGGTAGAAACTGTATTGACTGGTCACTGGTCAACTTTACTGTGAATTACTTGAGATCAAAACATACAGTTGATATGAATCAAGGTGGCTGAAGCTGGAGCCTCGCCGCGAAAGGCTGAGAGATAAGACTTTGCTGATGTGAGCACATGGTGAGATAATATAACTGGAGAAGCATTCCTCTCCTCCTCCCTGCTTGCTGTGTTGTCCAGCGCATACCCAGCATACCCCTCACACTGGCCGGACTGTGTTGTGGTGAATCAGTTGTTGTTGCCGATCAGCGGTTGAGTCTTTTTTCAAATTTTCTGATCAGTTTGAGAGCCTTGTTTTCCCTCTGGCCAGTCCTTACATAACACACAAACACACGCACAAACTCATGCAGACTTGATGCCGAGCTCCAGTCACTCCCCCTCTGCTATCTTATTCTCCAGAGGCGCTCCACTCCCCGCAATCAAGTCCAATTATTTTGGGCACAGAACTGTGTTTTGTTCTTTTGATCTGACTTCTCAGTTGTGCCCTCTTTAACTTTGCTGCATCTTCTGAGTTTTTCTTTTTCTTTTTTTTAAAATCTTTTTTATTCCCACACTTTGCATCTCTTCTTACTTTCTCACTGTCTTGTCAGTGTTTGTTTGGTCATTTTGTTTGTTGCTGTGTTAACATGAAGGCGTGGACTTTACTCCGGATCATCTCTCTCTCTCTCGTTTGGCTCGAGTGTTGATAGTGTATCTGACTGGACTTTAGTTTGAGGTCAAACCCTCGCGCAGACGTTTGTTTGGATAATGATGTAACTCGCTGTGAAGCTCTCTCTGCCTCGGTTTCCCTACAAGTTGACGGTTTTTACCAAGTAGAAAACAGTGGGACAAATGATTAATACAGCAAAAAGTTCTGCTGGGATTCTGGTACTGAAGTGCTGCTTTATGGACTCTTCTGGCACCATTTCAACCTTTTACACTTACTGTTGTGCAGCGTTTCATCTCAATCTTTTAACTTTTGTGGAACTTTGTTATGCAGTAAACAAGTATAGCACATGAGTAGTTTGTTTTTTTGACTTTACACTCATTGATATCAGAATAACTTGTCCTGCAGTGACAAGAATCGTGTATTGTCGGATCATTTATGTTTTAATATCATCCTGTTTTGATGACGGTGCTTATGTAAAATGCTTGTAGGTTGCAGAAATTATCTTATTAAGCTATACGTTACAGAATGAGTGCATGGATCACGCTACACAAGATGGAACTAATTGGTATTTTCTCTGCATTTATTTGCTTTTATCGCTTCCTAGAAGCATTTTCTGGGCGGTTTTATGTACTTCAAACTAGAGTTGCAATGATTAATCGATTACTTGTCACACGTTAAATTAATCGCCAACTATTTTGATAATTAATTTAATGGTTTGAGTTCATTTTTAAGAAAAAAAAAAAGAAGAAAACTTTCATTCCGGATTCTAAAATTTGAGTACTTTGGTGTCTTGTTATTCCTCTGTACCCAACATCCTCCTTTGGGCTCCAGACTAAAACAAGACACTGGAGGATGCCGCCAGAGGCCTTGGCAAACACTGATTTTCTAGAGATAACTGATCAGTTAATTGAGAAAATAATCAACAGATGAATCAGCAATGAAAATAGATAGTAATGGTGGCCAGCACTAACTGCTGTGTGTAAAAGCATTTCTGTTCTGACCAAAATGGTAGACTTATGTGAGCTCTATGTACACTTAAGGGTCACTTAATTAATCCAATACACTTGGTGCTTTTACTTTTATGATTCCCAAAGTGTTCAGTTTTGTGACACTGTCATGAATATGTTGATTCTTATCATATATTTTAGCACCCAGGTCTTATTTAGTGGGGTTGTGCTTCTGGATTATGTTGAAATTCTGCCCCCCTTCATGAATATTCATAGAGGACCAACACCTGTAATGTAGTCCGGTACAACACACCATTTTAACTATGGCCAGAATAACAAAAATAGAGTCAAGTTTACACATTTCCAACAACAAACAAGGTAGAATTTATGGATTTCATGGTATTGCACTAGTTTATCTAATGTAGCGGCCATGGAATATTTTTCATTAAAACCACATTTGGAATCAGACTTGATAGACACATGAGCCACACAGTCCGCTAGATGTCAGTTCTGCATGTGCGCTGACAACAAGTCCGGCCAGCGTACACGACTCTGTAAAGGGGAAGCAAACAAAGGGCCTCCAACTGATCCACACAACACAATAACAGCACGTCATGTGTATGTTTGAGCTTGTCATGCTGCTGGGTGAGATGAAGGGGTAAATTCATTTCTCCATAATCGGACTCCACCTTGAAGTTTCTGAATGAATCCATGTGGTACTTCTGTAACTTTGCTTAGTTTGCTGTATCAGTTTCATTTCTTTATGCTGGATATTAGTGTTTTTTTTCTGTTATTAGACATGAGACTTTCTATACCGGTGCCATACTATACAAGTGCATTGACCACAGATGTCACATCAGTATAGCGTTTATCCTTCAAGTGACTGATAGCGATGTTAATCCTGAAAGTGAAAGTGCAATTTAAGATTTAACATCGTCTTGTCTATTAACTTGTTGTGTCAGTGACCGAGCGGATATACCCGTCATCAAGATCCGATTGGTCAAACACAACCCTCTTTTTATTCTTCCACTACACAGAGCAACACATCTTTTTAAAAAAAAAGGTAGATAACAATCGTCTAGAGCTTATTTTACAGTTTTTTTTCTCATCATAATGATCAGAATGTGAACATTATTCTATTGTATATACATGTAGACATCAGTGCTGCTCGTTATTCCCTCTATCTGTCCTCGCCTTCCCAACTCTTCCCCCGTCTCCCTCACTCTCTCTGGATGTCAGTGTGCCAGTCGTTGTTTGGAAGCCCTCACTCATATCTCAGCTGTATATTTATCTCCGTGCTTCCACTCAGCCTGCATTCTCTGCAGCCTAATAAGGTCTTGGATGGAGGGAGTGGAGGAGGAGGAGGAGGGCACAGAGGGTAGATGGAGGATGGTGGGAAAAAGGTTGGACAATAGGAATCAAAAGTATTTTCCCACAAATTGGTTTTGGTCCGTGCACACATGCCTGTCTCTGCTAGCGTGCCTGTTTTTGTGTAACAGATGAGGGTGAAAGGACATAATAGAATAAAGAGACCCGAGTAACATAGGCCTTTAGGTTTGACATAATCCCAAATGTTAGGAAGCACTTTGATGTCGGACCTTGAAAACGCTGTACATAATGATATTTGCTTGGGTTGAGTCCACATGAATGTGATGGAGAAACCAAAAAAGTACTTCAAAGTGCATTCTGATCTCGCTTTCTTTCTTTCTTTCTTTCTTTCTCGCTGCTGATGCACATCAAAGCGTCCTACAGAACAGACTGCTATTTATCACGCTTGTGTCCACAAACACTGAGAGTGCTTTGCTAAGAGAGAAACCCTGAAACACAACCACAAACCACCGTCCACATCCTGAATTCTCTCCGATGTTTCGCTATTGCTTCCTCCAGGCGAGGTGTTTTCTCCATCGCAGGCTGTTTTCTGGTAGCCGGAGGGGATTTCTGTGTTTTTTTTAAAAGTGCTTATGCCGTATTACTCGGCTGTGATACCCCCTCGCTGAACTGTCACCTGATCTCTCATACGCTTTCGACCGCGCGGCAGATTAGATTACCACAATATTCACGAACGTCAACCAGACCCCCCCCTACACCTCCCCCCAAGCGGTCTGCAGCTCTTATTCACTACCTCCTCTCTTTTAGCCTTTAGAAATGCCCCAACACAACATGGAGAACTCCAGGAGCCAGTGGCAGCAGGGTCTGCGGCCGCCGTGGATCGCCAGAGTGGCTGGAGGTCAGAGTCCCGCCTCTTCGGGGGCAGAGTCAGATACAGAGAGCAGCAGCACCGAGAGCGAGAAGGTGAGCGAGTGAGATGAAGCTGCTTTGGCGGTGGTGCGGCACTTTGTTGGGCTTTTTCATCTCAAACGTTCGACGTCTCTTGCATGTACGATGTTTCTTACGTGAACATAACATGAATCATCATCTCTAGACCAGGCCACAAAATTGCTTGTGGTGACTTTGTCTGCTCTTGTTTTTTTTCTTTTTCTGTCAGTCGTGCGTTAAAAAGCTGGACTTGGGCTCTCTGAGGGGACTGGCATCGCCTTCAATGCTCCAAAAGCGCATCACAGAGATCGACCAGCAAAAGGAGGAACTGAAGATTGAGGTGAGAGGATGGTGCAGTCACAGAGGGCACAAAAACATCAGCTTATCTCATCACATTCAGGGAAAACAAGTGATTGAGTTTAGCGCAAAAGGCTGAGCAAGTGACTGGATGAAGTGGAAATTCAGGTTTAAAAAAAAAAAAAAAAAAAACCAGGCTTGCATTTCCGCTGAAGTTTGCACAATTAAATCGTCACACCATTTCTCAGCACCAAACACAGTCACGGTAAAGGAATGCACATCTCAGACTTGCTCAAGGTCTGGTCCATGTGATTCACCTCGGCGGCGTCTCCTGTGCCTTTCAGCTGCAGCTGGAGATCGCCCTGCTGCAGGGAGAGCTGCAGACGGAGAAGAACCAGCTGCACAGACATGCGCTGAAGCTGCAGGCGCTGCAGCAGGAGGCCAGACAGAAGGAGAAGCCCAAACACAACGACAGGCAAAAGGTGAAAGATGCACTTTCTGAAAGACAATTTTATTTCATTGCAAATAGATGTTGTCACAATTCATGGCCGTCTGCATTTAATTTTAGAGACAGTGAAGACAAAATTGTTGATGTTTAAATGGTTTAATAAAGAGATCACAATCAGCAAAAGTTCTCTTACGGGATTTCGCGCAAACATGTGGGCTCAGTAATGGTCCGCTAACATTCTCACAAGATCAATGATAAGTCAGCTCCCGTGCAGGGATCGCTGGATGCTAAACGCTCGTACACGCTCGCGCAGAGCCGCTTCGGGCGTGAGTTGTGAAACCGCCTTCTCCGTATTACTCGTCTCTCCCTTTTGAAGTTTCTGTTTAGATTTTTAAAGCCAGGCGATGACTACACACTCGATTTACTTCTTTTTTTCTCATTGTGTCAGGAGCGAGACGGCCTGGAGGAGGAGAGACGCAGGGTGGAGGAGCTGAGGAGGAGGTGTGAGGAGAAAGAAAGGCTGATCCCCGGTCAGCCGGAGAGTCAGCGGGAACAGCTGACGGTACAGCTCCAGCAGGTGAGCGAGCGTACAGGCGTGGATGAAAAAAAGCTCGAGGCAGATCCATCATCATTATTCCTGCTTTGCTGAAAATACATTAAGATTGACAGCTCGACCGATCGGCCTGACTGTAGCCAAAAAGATAAAATTCCTCAAAATTGTAGCAATCAAACTCCAAATGTCATGTTATGAAAATACAAACTCTATTAGATGAAGGAGATTCAATTACCAGCACAGAAACACGCCTGTTTTCTGCTGGAGAGGGTTTCGGTTTGTAAATCGTGTTAGGAAATACATGCTGAGGAAAAACTTCAACATCAGCTCCCAGACTTCAGATCAAGGCTTTTTTTTTGTGCTCTGATCTTGCGAAACTCTTTTAATGGGCAAATGTGCCGGTGATCACATCCCCATGGCAGCTTTCCAAATGAAACCTAAAGCTGCTACTGATACTTGATGAGCTGTGCTGACACATGAAAAGTGTGTCTAAGATTCAGGGTGTGTTGACGTCGGCGCTGACTCCTATACGCGTCGTTTTTGGGCCGCACAATGTGAGATTGTTCAGTTCCTGTTCGACCTGATCTGTCAATGTTTCAGAAGTTTGCGCACACCCACGCGTGCACATGGGATGTTGTATTCTTTCTGCGAATGTGACAGAACAAGAAGGGAGACCTCTGTGGGTTTTTTTTTTAAAAAAAGCAGCGTTTGATGACAGGTTTGGTGCAGTCCAGCGGCAGGTTTGTTACCTTCTGTCGCAACATGTCGGATTTATTTGGGAAGAGCTTAAAGAAACAGGTTTGGTGCGAGTTGCTTCACAGAGAACAGCACATGCAAATTTACAAAGGATGTCGTGTTAGTCAGCAGCCAGAGAGCGCCTTAAAACACTGAAAGAGTCTTTATTCTTTCATTTATTTGGTTGAAACGGTCCTATATTTTACACTGGTGCTTGTACTGATTCTGGTAGATTAATCGTAGCAACTGGCTGAGTTCCTTGAAGACGTTCCACCTCTCATCCAAGAGGCTTCATCAGTTCTGACTGACTAGTTGGGAGTTCCACATACTTATATCCTAAAGGAGCCATTAACACCTGAGTTTGTTGCTCCTCCCCCTCGTTATGTGGATCGTTAGTGCTCCCCCTGCCACAGTGGGGTTCGTTAGGGTCTTTGTGTCTAGGTGTGGATGTGGGTTCATCTTCCTGGGGAGAGATCTTAGGACTGAGTTGTAAACAGGTGAGAGGTGATGTCTCAGGATGGTCTTTCCAGTTAGACGGCTTCTTCCACCCCTCTCTCTAACCATCTGTCCTCCCTGCAGGCCAAAATCTGTCTTCGAATGAGTGTCCTTAGTCCTTGAGATGCAGGTGGGCTGCTGAGTCCTGTCCTGAGGAGCTGGCGGTTGTTTAGTCTCCCCGATGTACAGGTCTGGGCATTCCTCGCTGCACTGGACCGCGAACACCACGTTGCTTTGTTTGTGTCTCGGTGTCTTGTCCTTAGGGTGGACCAGCTTCTGTCTCAGGGTGTTGGTGGGTTTGAAGTGTACTGGAATGTTGTGTTTGTTTTAGGATGTAAGTATGTGGAACTCCCAACTAGAACTGATGAAGCCTCTTGGATGAGAGGTGGAACGTCTCAACCAGTTGCTACGATTAATCTACCAGACTAAACCATGACCTGGATGACTGAGAATCTTCACAGACATGCTCATACTGATAAAGTACCAGGCGTTGTCAGACCTTGTTGTGCAGTAAAATACCAATAAATGCTGTCTTTAATGCCTCCTGTCTGTATAAAGTGTGCGCTGAAGGCTTTCATTTTTTGGACTGCAGATGCTGAAGCAACATCTGCTCGTTATCTGGCATTAAAATAACTGTTAAAAAGCTGTTATTAATTATCTGTCTTTTCATCTTTGCAGATAAGGAATGCTTGTGTAAAATGTCACCAGGTTTTTCACATAAAACAACTCGGTGCAGAAAATAAACAAAGATAGCAAACTCTGGGTTAGGAAGTCAAGTGTTGCACATCTGACGCTCGTGAAGTTTGATGCGACCTATTTAATGCCACAAGATTGGTTTATTTTGTCCATCCAGCGACGCAAAACCCAATGTTGAACACCATAGTCATTCTAGATATGTCTACCATTTCTTTCCTATCTGTCAGTTGATCAGTGGATTTATTGGCTATTTATTTCAGTACAATTAAGTGTGGAATGACTCTAAAAGGTGGCGTCGAGATCACATGCAATTCTACCTGAGCTGCCGATTCTGTAATTCTAGCTCATATTAGAATCGAGGCTGTGGAATCAAGAGAAGCGATGCTACAGAACGGGTTATGTGAGACGCGTGTTTGTCCTCCTCGCAGGAGAAGGAAGCGATGGAGGCGGCAGCTCGGGCTTTTGAAGACTGGGAGTTTCGCGTTCTGGAGCAAGAGAGCGGCATCGACGACGAAGATGACAGCCCGGCGGACAAAGGGAAGGAGGGCGAAGGAGAGACGGAGAAGGAAATCTCGTGTCAGCAGCACGTGGTCAACACTGCACAGGTAAACACTCGGGCTTAGAGGCAATTTTTATTTTTTTTTTTTCCGGGAATTTCACAGCTGCTCCCTGACGTGTTTTACGGGTTTGCAGCTAATCAGCATGTCATGTGCTTCGCGTCACTGTTTGCCCTCACATAAATTCCTGCTCGGTGCAGACATGTGACGTCACTCTTAGAGCAGGTGGACAAAATAACAGAAACACCCAGCTCTCCAATGAAATCTAATACAACCGTGTTGCAAAACTTCTTTTTTTTTCGGTTCACATACATGCAAAAAGAAATAATGACAGAAGAGCGTAACCACTCTGAACCAGCTTTTTTTTTTTTTTTAATTCAGTTTCATTTTCTTTTTTTTGAGGCTTAAAATAAGGAGATGGTGAACTTCGAAGCCACACATTCGTGCTCCTCCTACAATAATCACAGAGTTGGTGGCATTGATCAGCACGGCTATGAATCTTGCTCGGATAGTATTTTTGTGCACATGGAAAAAAGTGTACTTATTTAATTATTGCCATCGACGGACTAAGAACCACACTAGATGGCTTGTTGGGATGCGCACACACATGCGAACGCTCCCTCCTTTGCAGTTGCTCTAAACGGCTGTCGCTGCAGGTTAAGACTCGACAAACGGTGACCCACACATGACCTCTTTACCTCCCAGCATCACCCTGATTCTGTCATATGACTCCATACAGAAAGCCTAATTACATCAGAGGCCTCCATGAGCGACAAATCAAAGAGCAGTGCAGATAGAGAGCAGAGGAGAGACGACAGCAGAGGGGAGACGGTATTGAGATAATGCTTCTTTATCAGTTTAATTTTTGTCACAGTATAACTCTACAGGACTTGAGCTACACCATGCAGCTAATTAAAATGAATTTATCCCCATGTTACCATCACCTTAAGCTCAGATTCTTTTGGATCTCTTGATTGGATGTAGCACAACAGGAAGAAAACTTCTTTTTTGTTTTCACTGTGATTTACTGTCCAAGCCAAGATAATGAATTTCTTCTGCAGCCTTGTGATTGTGAGAATAAAGAAATGAAGCAAACTGCAAGGCTGTAAAACTCTTCAGATCAGAATTATAATAATTGGAAGAGGCATCCAACATGTTAGCACTTGTAAATTAAAGCCCAAATTTATAGTGTGACAACAATGAGCGCCAGCTGTCGAAACTTCGGCACTTAGGTTGTGATTTATGGACTCAGAAAGATGTTTTTTTTCAATTTATAATTCAGTTACTCATGTTTAGAAATCACACAACATGACAGTGGGGTGTATTTGGCTCTCACTTCACACACTTTGTGCAACATCTTCTGTGTTAAGTCATGTTCCTAAAGCCGGTATGATCAGGCGCCGCTAATTCAGAACTAAACCGTCTCGATTAGCGCTAAATGCAGTGTAGTTGAGGAGAATGGGAATGTCATTTTTAATTTTGTTTTTGTGCAGATATTTAGTGGTACATATGTGCAGCTACAAAAACTGGACAAATAAAACCTGCTGGTGGCACTGGATGAGAAGTCCTGAGCAGGACGTTAATGTACAAAGTATGGCACACTGCTGTTGGCATATTGTCAGTAATATAAGTTCAAGCGATCACCACAGTCTGATTTAGTCTGGAATGTTTTTTACAATCAGTAACAAACTGACAAACGTTCCACCATCTAAAGGCATTGATCATCGTGTCACATGATGTGTTTTAACCATATTCAGGACTTTTGGGGTCTTTTGGACCCCAGGCCTTTTGGTTTAGGTGACGGGTATTGTTTTTTTTATTTTTGATTATTATTTTTTTAAATATAAAAAGGGACATTTGTCGTGCACCAAAAATACATCAACTTATCAGAAAACTTATTTAACGTAGTATAAACGTCTGTAACAACAAACAAATATTTTGCACATATTCTTTCTTGGGAGCTGCAAGGTGGCTCGGTGGTTAGCATCGTTGCCTCGCAGCTAGAAGGTCGCCGGTTTGCGTCCTGGTGAGGACACCCGGGATCTTCCTGCGTGGAGTCTCCATGTTCTCCCCGTGCAGCGTGGGTTCTCTCCGGGTTCTCCAGCTTCCTCCCACATAGTCCAAAAACATGTTGAGGTTAATTGGTGATTCTAAATTGTCCGTAGGTGTGAATGTGAGTGTGCTTGGTTGTCTGTCTCTAAGTGTAGCCCTGTGATAGACTGGTGATCTGTCCAGGTGTCCCCTGCCTTCACCTTGAGTCAGCTGGGATAGACTCCAGCCCCCTACGACCCTGGTGAGGATTAAGCGGAGTATAGACAATAGATGGATGGATGGATTCCTTCTTGAGACCTTCTACGTATGGCAACATGAAAGTCAGTGAAGCCTCTGGTGAAACTAGACGTATCAAAAATCATTTCTAAAACCTCCACTATTTCCAAATTTTTCTGTTCACAAGTGAGAGGAAATGTATTTTGTGTCATCGTTGCTTGGAAATGTCCTAAAAACTGCTCTTCCACTGACTCAACGAGCATAGATGGTGAAAATAATGTCGAATTGTTCCGCAATTAGCTCGAGTATGCGGCAGGAGGAGGGTAAAGCCAGAGATGAAGACTGGGATTGTGTGAGAGGGATGCGAGTTGACTCAGCTGCACCGTGGCCTCGCTGCAGTCGACAGCTCGTCTCCAGGTCGTCCGTCTCTTTCTCTGTGTCTCACTATTTTCTGTCTTATCACTCCATCTTTTTTTTTTTTTTTTGAGTTAAACTCTCGGCCTCATGCACCTCTCCTCTCTCTCTCTCTCTCTCGTGCCTCTCATTAACTTGCAAACCGGACATTTGATTTGCATTGTGTCTCGGCTGAAGAGACTCGTCCTGCGCTCAGGGAGCTGCGTTTTGCTCACGCCGACACACCGACACGGCGTCACATCTGGGATATTTACACAATATTACTTTGCAGCATAATGAACTGATTAAGTCAGCTCAGGCCAGACAGATGAATCAGCTTTAGTGATTACTTTTGAGGAGAAGGAGCCATGTGGCAGTCCACGCTGATGGGAACTATTCTGTGAATTTTCAGGAGCGGGTCCAGCAGTTGGAGAGACAGCTGAAGGAGATGGAGAAGGAGAAGGAGAAGGAGCTGAACGCCTTGAGGAAAGAGAAGAGAGAACTCATCCACACCACTCAGACGGTAAGAGGGAGTCGCGGTGGCGTGGGTTTTACAAATTCACGTTTCTCAAATTTGTTCAGTTTATATCGAGGCTATCAATACTAATACTACTGTTCCTTAATAGTCATCTGCAGAGTGTTATTTTAATGATCAGTTCATTCGTCTGTCCCTAATATTTTATATTCCAGAAGCAGCTAATTGAAGCTATTGTGTTTCCTAAAGGGATCACACAGCCAACTAGATGCAGCCGGGTCACATGTATACAGCCTACTGCATTGTATTCCACAGAAATGTAGAATATAATGCGATGGGCTGCATACATGCCGCGATCTATTGTTGAGAGACTCTCCCACAACAGAATCATTGTCCCGCACCTGTGCAGACAAAGGAGGCGGAGAATCATCTACTAAAGGTCCTCTCCGGTCATAAATTTAACCCCTGAAAACTCATCGCTGGGTGTCAAAGTGACATATTCATACCCTTTCTAGTGCGCCATAGTGCTCCATAGTGCTCCAGTGTAGTGTAAGTGTGAAATCTACTGAATGAATGTCTGTTATGTTAGGACTCATTGAACAAGAGAGTGATTTCAGACACAGCTAAGTATCTCCATAAAGCAGAGCTGAATATGCTTGCAGAGTTTAAGAAGTATCTGTTCTGATAAAAGAAGGTTAATGAACTGCCAAACGGGTTTGTTGGCATTCTTGGTGCACATCAACTAATGACATTACTGGGATCACCTGAGATACCTGAGCTATTCTAATTATTCTATTAATAGTTGAGAACATTTCCCAACTCTACAGATCATCTCAGCTCTAAGGAGTGCTTTAACGTCTTTCAGTTGTTTTGGTTTTTGCATCCTGCAACTTTATTGGTTTGGTTCAATCTCATCAGAATAATTTGTGGAACCAGAAGAGGCAGATGGTTTCAGAAAAAAACCCAGCTGCTCAGCTTCAAACAGCGTACAAATGATTGGGCCTGGTTATTACTTTCATGCTGGGGGCAGCGCTTCGACGGGGTGGAAGTGACCGGAACGCACAGGCAGTACTTGGCTGCTGATGGCAGTTTAGGATAGTGATCACAGTTCTGTTTCCACCATCGGTTGTGGCGTGATGTCATCGTGTCCTCTTCTGTGCATGCGGGACACTTTTGGGTCGTATGAAGTTCACCCAGGAAATCACATACAAGTCGCATTTAATTGGAAATGTGAACAAACTTGGAAAAAAAATAAATCACAAAAAAAATCCTCATTGAGCATCAAGTCCTGCAGTGTGAACGTAGCCAATCTGTGGGATTGTTCGGTCAGATAATACGCCGTTATCCTTATTGTGACATAAAAAGTCACGTCCGAGTCAGAATCCAAGGCTGTTGGTATGTTAAGGCTGTTTTTAATGGGTTCTGTTCGTTTTTCCTAAAAACCTGTTGGATAGCAAAGTTTTCAGATTGTTAAGGGTCGAATTATCGAGTCACGATTTACCATCTTACATCAAGAAATGTTGATATAGATGGCTGCCAGATTAGACTAATCCTACCTCAGTCGTCTCTTTTCCTCCATTGTTTTCCATCTGATGCACTGTACAGCTCTCTACACATTGTCCCTTTACAGTGAGTAGTTTATGATTTCAGACACCCCCTCTTTTTTTTTTTGAGCTTCAATTTGGAGTTTCTTAATCATCCAGTGACTTTTAGCTGCGAGTTTGAGCACAGCCCACGCTGCCATGTGCTATCTGTGGATGCTTTCTGTTCCAAAATATGTGATTCACTCAGTCGCCAATCAACATGCGCTGGGACTTTAGCACACAGCCAGTTTGATCAGAGCTGTGACAGTTCAAATGAGCAGATCTGGGTGAGGAAAAAGGCAAATCAGACGTGTGGAGAGAGTGAGCGAGGGAGGGAGGGAGGGGAGGGGATAGAGGGAGGAGTAAGAGATAGGAGGGAGGGTGCTGCAGTTGTGAATCTGTGTGTGGATGTGTGAGAGAAGGGAGAGAAGGCGAGCTGGGAGAAAGTTTGACATCCTCGCGGCGAGCGGTAAGCTGAAAGAATGCGCTCAAATCGATCCGTGTTGGTGTTACAGTCATCTGGAAAGTGGCTCGGTGTAAATGAGAGAACAGAGGCTGAAGGAGGGAGGAAGGGAGGAAGGGAGGAAGGGAGTGGCAGTGCAGAGGAGGAGAGGGGGACGAGAGAGACAACATGACCAAGTGTGTGTGACTGCAACATGACTGCTTAACTACTGAACTTTTCATGGTGAGAAACCTTTTGTGTCTTCCGGCAGATCGGCTTCAATCACAGCTAGTGTTGGAGAACCGATTCACTAAATCTTGCTCAGGACTCTGTCAGGGCTTTCTAAATGCTCTTCACTACCCATGTGTGGAGCAGTGAAAGAGGCAGACAAGGGTTAAAGTGTGGACTGCATGCGGTGACTGAATTGCTCATGTGCTTGTGAGTCAAGCTGGGAGGCAGGGTTAGAGGGAAAGATAGTGAGGCTGTGATAATTCTTTAACTCATTACGACCCCTTTCGGGAGCGCGGTTTTCATTCTCAGCCAGATGCGGTATGTCGCGAACTCGGCGGCTTTTTGCTGCGCTCGTCGCCTTCCCCCGGCAGCTGCAAGTCAGTCCAATCGGACGGTTGCGCCTCATCGCACTGAATTTGTCATTTTAATCTGGTCCTACAGGTTCTCAAAGAGAAGAAGCCGCTCGCTGATTGGTCCAACATCACCGGCTCTGCTCCCTGCATGATGTCACTTTCTCCCCTGACCGTTCACAAGCCTCCTCAGGTATGCAGCTCGTCACCGTGGATACAGGAAGTTTACAAAAGACTGTCAAGTTTATTGTTGTTTATTCTGTTTAGTGTGTTCTGAATGTACGAGTTGTGTGTCGTTTAGAAGAGCAGAAAAGCCACGAAACTGTCTCTCTTCTGATCAGTTTCAGTTGAATAAGACAAAAGTTCAGAAAACAGGGACGTATTTACATCTAAGAGGTGAATGTTTGGCACTTGTGATTAAAAAAAAAGATTCCAGTGATTTTGAGAACGCTTCCCGACAGCTTCTACTTCACAAGATTTCAGATGACAGTGATTCTGTTTCAATGTTTGCCTCACTGATTGCACTCACTGCCTTTTATTTTGTAGGACCCATGCAAAGAAACCACCAGCTTGCCCAGAAGAAGGAGCTTGCATCGCAACAACAAGCTCAACGACAGGCCGCTCTCAGCGCAGGGTGAGCTATTTATCAGCCCTCCTTGTTTTGTTTCTATCTCCTATTGTCGACCTGATTGCTCAAGCTGAGAGGTTTGTGATACAGAACAATAAATACGCTCCGTCTGCACTCATGGCCTCATTTTGTCTGTTTGCTCAGTTCCCTCCCTTTTAGTCAAATCGAAGGTGTGTCAGTAGAGCGGAGAGGTTGTTATTACGTTGGCAGAAAGCAGGATTTGCCGGTAGCGACTGGGTGAGCCGGAGAAGCGCCCGTGTCCTTAAGCCTAAAATCTCCTCAGTTGTATTTTTTTCTCACATGCAAACCTATTTGTCACTAAATGCCCCAGTAGCCTGATCTGCACGGTCATGTTGAGTCTTGCCAGGCATTTATCCTTCTCCTTACTTTCACTCAGTCTCTTTCAAAACGCTGGGAATTCTTGATGCAACATCTTTGTACTCAACCGCCACTCGCAGGATTCTTCCTCACACGCCACATCTTATATGAAGCTATTCTTCTCTGCCTCTCAGGGTTGGTGAGGATGCTTCCCGACAGCCAGACCCCCGAGGCTTACACGTCCCCCCTCACCTCCCATCGGCTTAGCAACGGGCACAGCAACGGGCACAGACCTGGGACCAGCAACGGCGGCGGGCTGCTCACGCCGTGCAACAGTGCGACAAGCTCTCGAGCTGCCAGGTCGGTTTCCTCACTGCTGAGTTGGTGAACTCTTTTGTAGAAGTTCGTGTACTTGTTTAGCATTTACAAGCAACAGTCAGGGAAGGAATGCATTTTTTACGGTTTGTACCTTGACTCAGTGGTGATATTTGCTGTGAAGGGGATCCGTTTTTATGCAAGATGCATCTAACATAAAAGACAATTAGAGAGAGGATTAAATCTTGGGGTTAAATTTCATTTTAAATACACTTACCTCTTCTTTTTTTTAATGTCTTTTTGGACATTTAATTTTCCTTTTATCCATTCGTGTAGCCCAGTCGGTATATATACCCACTCTGGCTCTGACATCATGGTAGCTGATGAAGTCATTTGGAGAACGAAGCGCTGCAACAAAGTCTGACGAGGCACGAAACACACTCGGGCTGTAAATAATCCAACTGCTCAACCACACAATCTTACCGCTGGCGTTGTGGGTGAAAACAAAAGTTGCCGACCGCTTGCTCAGAGGGAGTCCAGAGGCGGCTGTTCAAAATTCATAAGGCCTGTACCTTAATACGTCAAGCTCTGTGAGACGACATATGTTGTGGATTCGTGCTATATAAATAAAAATTGAATTGAGCACCCAAGTTGTTGGTGAACACTTTGTGCACACGTTGTAAGCACTATTTTTATATTTTCCTTTCCAAAAAGATCAAGTATGATGTTGTTGTTCTTATTTTTTTATTATTATTATTTAGAATAGTTGGCACTCATAACCAGAACTTTAAAACTGAACCACTATTACATTTCTATTTTACAATTTGTGGCCCAGTAACAAACATGAACAGCGTAGACAAACACAGCAGCAGTAGTTAGGTTCAATGCATTGCGGTAACGCCTACTCAGTAACAGGAAATGCTTCAGAGTAAACACAAGGCTTTCACGGCAGTATAAGAGGAGCTTGTTAAAACGCTCGTGTTGTGGCAGATGTCGACATACATAAGTACATGTGTTGGGCTGTGAACGTGATTGTTATGTAGAATTATTGTCATTACGTGCAGTGTCATGTGAAACTTTGAACATATGTTGCGTTTTAAGGAAGTTTAATGATGACAGTCACATGATTTGGTTGCATTGAAAGGTGACAACTAAAGGTCAACCCTTGTGAGATTCCCATTTATATCACTGTGTCTGTAACTGATCCGTGAGACTGTAGCTTCGTCTGTCATCGCCGGTATAATCTGGTAAATAAAAGTGCCTTGAGTGGTGCTTTCCTACATCATAAATCTGTTTAAATCGTCGACTATCACTGGCATGTTTGATCTTGAGCGCCTTTACGTGCAGGGATTCTGATCGTATGCTGTCCCTCTTCACCCGACAGCCCGTGCCTTTTGGATCTCGTGGAAATCGAGAAGAAGCTGAGGGAAGCCAAGGCGGAGAGAGAGAGGCTGCTCAGAGAGAGGGTGAGTCACCTGCCGTGGGAAACACTGGCTGACACCTCTAATCATCAGCGACACACCGCGTTAGACATGGCTGTCTGATCCCTGACACCCACTCAGCTCGCACACGACGGTCCAAGAAAACAGCCAACAGATGTGTGGATCTTTTGTAAAGAATGTTTGCAGCCCTGGCAAATGCCAAGACTGAAAAATGTGTACTAAGAGGTTAAGAGAAAAGGGAGAATTCCTCTTTGAGAAGAGAGCAGTATCAGTAATGTCACATATTTTGATAGGTTGCTAATAGTTCGCTCTGATGCTTGTGTGCACCCAGGAAGAGCGACGCCGGTTGCTGCTGGAGGAGAGAAGACAAAGAGAGTTAAACTCGTCCAGAACAGAACCACCGGAACCGGAGACCCTGCAAAAGCCGGCGCCAGATCCGGAGCCAGAACCAACGGAGCGACCAACGGCCGTTTCTTCCCCAAACTCCTCAGAAATACAAACTGTAAGGCGCTGAAAACACATTTACTCAGTCGACTTCCTACACTGAGCAATGCACAGTTAAAAAAAAAAAAAAAAAAGATCACAACTGTTGCAGCAGAAGATGTTTTATTACACGTGTCCTTCTTCCTTTTTAAAATCTGCTTGCTGCATTACTCGCAATGCAACTCGGCGGCTGCTAATTCTGTGTTAACAGCTAGCGGAGCCTTTAAATAACCTTCTGACCTAATTGGTTATAAGTTATAAAAATAGAAGAAGCAAGTGAGAATACACCATGACCGATTCAACGGTTTAATTTTAGACAAGAAAAAAATTAATAAAATAACGTCACTGTGTAGATTATACTTGCAGTGCTCGAAGAGGAACTTGTGGTTGTGGGTTAGAGAAACACATGCAGTATAGATGCAGCAGCGCTTTGACTTGTCGTCTATTGATGTAGGTAAAGCTCCAAAAACATTTCACATAATTCAGCTCTGTGGCATCTTTAGTCGACCTCTTCCTCCCTGGTAAACAACACATCTTTCAACTTGAGTTTCCTGTTTTCTATTACAGACTTTATAATGAACTCTTTTCCAGTGTCACGATCCCGTACGATTGAGCTTCTATCATCTACAATCAGAGAAGGAACCGATTTAGACTCACGAACAAGTGCAGCCGTTATGAAAGGCCGCACATAGCATTTCCTTCAGTTTCCGTGGAAAATACGCTCTGTTCAAGCCTCTTTAAACTCCGTTTGTCTCTCCAGCAGCAGCAGCAGCAGCAGCAGCAGCGCAGCCTTCCCCTCTTCCTCTCTGCCAACTTTGACCTGCGGGCCCATGTGGAGTCTTTGGGTCACGGGGTGGCCGGCTGCACGGACCTGCGGCTGACACCTCGACGCTGTGCGGGCTTCTTGACCAAACGAGGGGGGAGGGTCAAGACCTGGAAGAAGAGGTGGTTTCTGTTCGACACGGACCACCGGCGACTAGCCTACTATACAGGTTAGACTGGCTGGAGGAGTGGTGTGTGTGTGTGTGTGTGTGTGTGTGTGTTTGCTTGTGTGTTTGCATGAATAAAAGCCTTCTGTGTGTCGTAGTAAAGCGACACCAACACTGTTTTCAAGCATTCGTCTTTTAGCTCTTGCTCTTTATTCGAGATTATAGAAAAGATAAAGACTTAAAGATGTTGTACATCAAACAGCAGATCAGCGAATAATGACTTGAAAAGCTGGTCAGAATGAGTTTGGTGTAAGCGTTTTTTTTTCTTTCTTCCCTCCCCCTCCCTTTGCTGCAGACTGTGATGAGAGGAAGTTAAAGGGAGTCATCTATTTCCAGGCCATAGAAGAAGTTTACTACGACCATCTACGGACAGCCACCTCGGTGAGTTCTCATGCTTTACTTCTAGCAGAGTTTTGAATCCAGCTGAGAGCCCGTGCTAAATCTCTAGACTTCAGATAGAAACCAGTGCATAAACTGAAGCCAGCTTCACATGGTGAAAAAGAGCCCGAAGCCTCCGTCTTGTTCTTTTTTTTGTGGCCTACTCATGACTCCCAAAGATATCTCAAAAATGTAAGGAATCTATTTGCAAAATGTGTTCTCAGGACCAACATGCAGGGCCATCACTTAACATATTATAATAATCAGGGAAACATCTCAACTTTAATCCTTCTAAAGATAATTTCACGTCAACTTAAATTAAAACACTATTTCAACCTTAAGTAGAATTACGCTGGGGATGCCAGAAACAAATCCCACGTGTTTATCGTGGTGTGTACACATGAGGAAGTATGTTTAACTGGTTGGAGATGGGCTAATAAGATAGAATGAAGACCTGGTGGGTTTGCACAGGATTACAAACAGCCTCTTTAACTATTACTGTCCTAGATAACCAAGCACTTTTTTGTTGCTGCTCACAGGCCTTGGGACTTTGGAAAAGTGTCATGTGAGGTTCCCAGTGAAGCCATAGGGAAACTTGTTCGTTATATTCAGATTTTATCAACATTCACATGAATCATGAGATCTAAGTTGTGTGAAACTGCTGCACCGATGAAAATCCAGATTTGTCAACAGGTTTAAATGTTTTTCTTTTTATATGCTTGAAGACGCATCATGAGTTAAACAAGCAGTCATGGCTGAATATTTCTACCATGAACCCTCAGTTTACCGATGACAGCCTCGAAAACATGAGGCAGCCATGGTTTCATAACAAACTTAAGGAACCAATCCTGTCAGCTTGCAGGGCCATTTTTTTTTTTTAGGGATCAGTTTATATTTTGAACATCCATCCATCCATTCTATACACCGCTTAATCCTCATTAGGGTCGCGGGGGGGCTGGAGCCTATCCCAGCCGACTTTAGGGCGAAGGCAGGGGACACCTGGACAGGTCGCCAGTCCATCGCAGGGCCACACTTAGAGACAGACAACCAAGTACACTCACATTCACACCTATGGACAATTTAGAATCACCAGTTAACCTCAACATGTTTTTGGACTGTGTGGGAGGAAGCCGGAGAACCCGGAGAGAACCCACGCTGCACGGGGAGAACATGCAAACTCCACGCAGAAAGATTCCGGTGCCCCCACCGGGACGCGAACCGGCGACCTTCTTGCTGCGAGGCAACAGTGCTACCAACTGCGTCACCTTGCAGCCCATATTTTGAACATGTATCACTGAACTACCCCGGTATCACAACTGGGCACTGAGTAGCATAGTGTAGGTGTACAGTGTTGAGGAGGCGTTCGAGCGAAGCGGGTTCATTTTCCTGGAAGTGCTTTCAAATTTGTAAATCTAATGAGAGGGAGTTTAAAAACAAAGAAACACACTGTGATTATTTAAAGCCATTTTGGATTTCTAATGAAAAATAAAAACAGAATTCTTTCAAATTGAAACAGCAGAAGCCTGTTCTGCTGCTGAGAAACGTGTACGAGGACAGAAGTGTGAGAGCAACGCTTGAAATAGACAGAAATCTTTTCTTGTCTGTCCAGTATAGATTTTTAAGAACTTCAGCTCGAAGAACGTGAGGCTCGAGACAAATAAAATGTTCGTCAATCACCACTGTGGGGAGAGAAACCCTTCAGTGTTGTCACAAAACTTCTTCTTCATCATGTTTTCCCTGTCCCCTTCCCTTCAGTCTCCACGGCCCAGTCTGACGTTCTGTGTGAAGACGTATGACCGGCTTTTCTTTCTGGTGGCGACCAACGCAGTGTCCATGCGGATCTGGATGGACGTTATCGTCACAGCGACGGACGAGCACAGCCGCTATTGACCTTAATGCATATGTGACTGTGAGCTAAGTGACTGAGCAGATACAGCAGTGAGTTATTTTCCCTCTCTTTCTGCTGCGAGAGGGGCCGGTTCAGCCGAAGATCCGCCCCGGGGGGCTCATTCCGTACCTGGACTCTTGAATGTGAATGAACCGCGTGAGTTGCAGAGGTGCAGTGGCTCGACGTGCACGAGCACAGCGGAGGAAGCTGTTACTGACAAGAGTGATTCACCAGCTGCAAACCAGCGGCCTGCACACTGGCCTTCTGTTACTGGGAGGCTTTTACTCTCTGAGCCCGACCTCCCTCTGCTGGTTACAGTCCAGCATTACAGGACTGGTGTACACTACATTACGATACACTACAACACAGGATGGACACAACAACAGCAGCACCTGCACAAGATGACGTAATCCGGTGTACCTGTCTAGCAATAAGTATCCTATAGACTGTCAGAGGGGTGTTCAGGTTAAACACTGTATTTTGGGTTGGATTGTTTTATATCGTCAGGAGTTCCCACTCACATGTCCACACCCTGAATCTGTGTCTTCACTTAGGACAGATGGTACATTCAATTGTCAAGATTATTTATTATATTTGGAAATTTCTATGGGTTTGATTTGCAAATAAATGAAGACATCCACTGTTATGAATGCACTATTAAATGTTTATTCATAAAAAAAAAAAAAAGCTCTAATGTTCTCATTTTATTCAAGTTAAGCCTAAATTGGCAAGAGATTTGTAACATTAAATATTAACTATAGCAAAAATGAAATGGCATAATCTTGAGTTTTTAGTAATAATAACTGATCCCGTGTTGTCACTTCTAACGTCGGTTTCTTCAGGGAATTTAGAGACACAGAGTACTTTACGACTCATAAGAACTCCTCTTATCCTCGAAAACACCTTGTATAGTGGCTCGGGCCTCCAGGGGGGTTGGAGTTGCCGAGTTGCGCTGCCAGGTTAACGTCCGTAAAGTTTTCTTCGGCGCCAGAGTCGATGAGGGTTGACAGCGAGAACTCCTGCCCCTTCCAGCAGAGGGAGGCAGAGATCAACAGATGAGGGGGAGATTTAGCCGTGGTTCCCCCCCTTTACTGGTGAGCCTGATCTTTTGCTGGCCTAATGGGGCAGCCAGCCACGTAACGGCCCGGTTTGCTTCAGTAGAGTCAGACTTTGGATCTTCTGCAGAGGGTCCACTCCTCAGAGGTCAGCTGGGAGCGACCATGTTGCATGGGCTGGCCCTTAGAGGGGATGGTGGTAGTTTGGGGCCCCCAAGGGGGGCTACATGCAGGCAGGGCACTGGTGGAACCTGGAGGTAAGGGGCCGCGGGGGACAGGCACCTCTCTCCCAGCAGCGTTCCCAGAGCCTATTATCCAGCCGGATTGAGAAGGTGATCAGGGTTGCGGATTCGTCACGGGAGGCTAACTCATCCTTAACAGTCTCGCTGAGGCCTCTTAGGTAGGCCCCCCCGGAGAGCCTTGTCGTTCCGCCCGCTCTCTGCCACCAGGGTGCGGAACTCTGCAGAACTTCAGGGATCTTGGTGGAGTGAGAGGATTCAGCGGCCTGCGTCCTTTCCCCGAACTGGGTGGTTGAAAACGTTCCTCATCTCCTGGGTGAAGACCTCGTAGGAACTGCAGTGGTCTGCCTGCACCTCCCAGACCACCAATCCCGAATCGAGAGCCTCTCCCTCAAGAAAACTAAGCAGGTAGGCTATGCGGGCGCGGTCAGAAGTGTATGCAAGGGAACACCAGAGAAACTTGCATGAGGAATACTCGGCACACCCCTAAATTTCCATCATTGTGCTCAGGGACGGGAACGGATGGCTCACGCCCTGCCAGGGAAGAGCCCAGACTAGCAGCCGCTGGCCAAGGGGCGGAAACAGAAGGCTGTGAAACAACTGGGTGATCAGTGCTGATAATTTGGCCATCTGACCAATGAGTAAGCTGATCTGGGATAGCATGGTCTGATTATTCTCAGTCAGGCTTCTAAGCACTTTGTCATGGTGGCCTAACAGCGCCCCCTACCAGTAGTCAGTATCAGCTGATGCTAGCTGCTCATCTTCTGCAAACTCTCCTGGCATTCTTTTCTTTTTTCTGAACCTTCTCTCAGGAAGGGCAGTCTGCACTACCAGATCACACTCTTCCTCCTCTTGCAACTTTCCATTAACCCACTTCACAAACTCATCAGCTGCACACTGAACTCCTTCAAAGTCCTTAGCACACTCCCCAAGACCCTCCTCTGTCCCCTCAATCAAACGTTGAGTTGTGACGATATCCATTCCCCTTGTCTGTAAGTATTTTGAAAGGGGGGATGTTTGCTCAGAAATGCAAAGGAAAATTTGAGCAGTGAGCGCTGTCTCATACCTCAAAAGGCCTTCCATGAATCCCTTAGCCTTGGCCCTCACAGTTGGCTGTTGTGCTCTGTCATCTACTATGGTGTGTAAAGTCATAAGCACTTCAACAAACAAGGCTCCTTGAGGATTGCCAAAGCATCCAAACACTTTACTTAGTGCCTGATCCTTAGCCCACCACCTGGTTGGCTCTATTGGGCTAAATCGTCTGTGATGCTTGTCCTGACTCATCTCTTCCCACCTCTGCATGTAATTGTATGACTCTCTTAGGAAAACTGCTATATCATTAACAGCGAAAAGAGGGATGCACTTTCCACAACACTGCTGTTGTGTCAGCCAGTACAAGATTCAAAAGGTGTGCATCTTTACATCACATACGCGACCTGTGTTTACATTTGGAAACAGCGTGGACGCCCTCAGAACTGTGTTGTCTCTTGTCCAGGCCCAGATAACGCTCCACATACAATAACACAGGCATAGGATGATGTTAAGGACGGTTATTTTCCGCTACCTTGCCATTCCACGTCACCAAAACCCTGCTACGTGTGGACAAGGCCTCACAGTCCACCATAGTCATCAATCTTTCATGAATGACGTCGGTTACAGATCTTAGGATGATGGAGCACTGGTCTTTGCTGCTGATATCTTGTGTGGTCTCAATTTGGACTGAAAACATGCCAGCTTGTCTTACTTCTCTGCCTATAACTGCCTTTATCAGTTGGCTGATGATGTTCACAACTTTATTGAATGTGTCTTTTGACAGCAGTGTAGCTAGAGACTCTTTCCACTTTCCTGCTGCCCTTTGCAAGTGTTTACATGCTATTGTAGGCAAATGTCATATCTACTCAAAAGTAGAATCAACTCTACGGCATTGCCATGATTAACAGCAGTGTTTTCTAGGCTGTAACCTGCCTCCTCTCCATCTCCCATGTAGCTAAGGCCACATTTGCCGATAACTTTAACGTCCACTATGCGCTCCATCACCTGACGTTTCTCCCTCATTTGCACGCAATGACATTTGGTTGCCAGTCAAGCTTTTACGTCCACCTTTTGTCCGTTCAGAGAGTAAGCATCTGCCCTATCTCTGTGTGTCTTCCACTATCCTTTGGTGAATGTGTTTCCAGTCTTTCATGCCGCCCCTTTGTGAAAGCACCTTCACTAACCGCAGGGGCAAATGCCAGACAAACAGAACAGTACAGAGACTGATTTATTATTTTTTTTCACAGTAAGTCAGCCACTTGCGGTTGGTTCCATCTTTGCTATTGAAAACTTTTGGTATAGCAATATTAGGGGTTTGATGAGGATTGTAAGAAAAAGAAATGTATGTATGTCCTGTGACTGAGGGCGAGCAAAGTAATCAAAACTATCAACAGACTCATCTTCATCTGTCTCATTCCTAACTGGTGCTTCAGGGTTCTGCTGCCTCTGTAATTCCTCCAGTTTCCCAAGACTCACCTGCACCTGTATCATAATGAAAAATAATGATCTGTAAGGCTTTGGCACATTTGATTTGGAAAACACATCCAGACTTAACCAATTAATGGCAAAACATACAGGCTTATTTAATTTTACGTTCAATCCCCTCATCACGACTGGCTCCTGGCTCTGCTTCTGACCCTAAATCACATTTTAAAAATGACTCTCAACACAAATCTCCCCTTTTTTACAAAGCCTTCGGATCAATTCCGGTCAGTTTCATTAATGTAGTGCTGAGTCATCTAGCATCTCAGGTACTTTTCATATAGATCAGGTCTGAGGGAACCTACGTCAGGCGGAGCAGGTAGGAGCTTCGGGCGGCGCTGATGGCTCCGGGACGTCTGGGAATCTCCACTGATGCACGGCGGATGACGTCCTTGACTGAGGCAGGGAGACAGGCAGGCAGGCAGACAGGCAGGAGACCAGAGGTAACCGGTGGAAAACTGTGGGCAGAGGAAGGCAGAATTAATCCAATGCTGAGACACGGAGTCTGCAAACAAAGTGAGCCGAATGAACTGACTGAGTTGCCTAAGAGTGACAGGTAGCGTGAGAGAGGGAAAGAGGTGAAGGTGGAGGCTGAGGCCGGGGTCCTGACAGGAGATCGGAAACCCTGGCAGCTTTTTAAACATATATGATACCAGTGGTGGGCCATGCAGTTTACTTCTAGGCCTTCAGTGGTGTCCTACCTGGATCAAACCACCTCTTCATCATGACGCCACGACTATAGAAACCATCAGTATTATGCAGAAAGGCAGCGTAACAGGACGTTGCACCGCAGACTGGTGTCTCATGTAGTGAGAATGAATGCCATCACTAAAGCAAGAAACCCATTAAAACAATTCAACAAGTCTCCTTTTACTGCAGCCACAGCTGGATCGCATACATCACAATTTACTTTAGCAGACACTTTTATCCAAAGAGACGTTCATTTGAGAGTAGATCACATTCATACATCAATGGCAACAGATCTGCCATGCAAGGTGCTGCCTGCCATTGGGAGCAAGTTCAGGTTCACTTTGATCGTGGAGGGGTGGGGAATCGAACCACCGACCTTGCTGATTAGAGGACAACCCGCTTTACCACCTGAGCCGCAGCCACCCATATTACATCTAGCAGGAGCATCAATATCAACCAGATAAAATGACAAAAATATATATTTTACCAAAACTTCTGATTATTTGAACACAACTCTTTGAATCACTCTGTTGAGCAGCTAATCTGTGCGTTTCACTTCCAACAATTAGTCCTGTTTTATCTCCATGGAGGCTGATGCTGAAAGTCGGGTCTGTCCGGTCGTGTTTCTGGCATAAGTTTTAATTCAGGGCTGAGAATGTCTGCTTACCTTAAAACCTTAAAAAAACAAAACAAAAAAAAGCACAATACTTTTACAGTAAAGTTTTAACTTGTGCAGGTCGCTACAGATACGAACCGCTAGCTGTGGCTGAGCTCTCTGACCAATCAGAGGACGTGAAAGTGCCATCGTAGGCCAGCTAGCTGGTCCTGGGACCACCAACTCTCAATCTGATTGGTTAAAGCAACAGTTTCATCACAATGCATTTTAAGCTTCAGGGGCCTGTGCTTTTGATTCAGATTTCTTTGACCCTCGGCAGCACATGATGGCTGAAATATGAAATGAAGAGAATAGACTGCTGGGAATAATGTAAAAAGATTAATGGGAAAATATTAAGTCAGTGATTCTGGTAGAGTTCAGGCCAGCAGAGAAGGCCTCGGTGGCCCTGACGGCACACCACTGCATGATAGGATATTTATTTTCAATTAATATTAACTGAAAATAACTGCTACCTCTAATACAAATGTAATATTTATTGATACTTGCATTTGAACTTGTTAGGTATGTTATTCT